AAAAACCCCAAAAAAATCAGCGATAAGTTGACAGAGGAATCGATTACGCCGTGAAATTCTGAGGCTTTTTAAAGTTCGTATGCTACAGTCCATGAAAAGCCGATTTTTAGAGGAATAACATGCATTTATTTCCACTATCAAAGGAATTTATAGAAAGTTATCGCAGCCACGCGACGAATAATCGATTACGACATGAAATCGTGAAAAAAGCGAACGGTTACAAAGTCCACTGATTTTCACGAATCCGAAAAATTTTGATTTTTCCACGACGGCGCAACTGATTACGCCATGAAATTCTGAAAATCAAAAGCATATGAATCATAAAATTCACGATTATTACAAAGTTTTTTGATTTTGCAAGAATCATCAGGCTAAGCCAGATTTCAATGGAATCGTTATAACATTAATTTTTTTTAGCACCCATTACGCCATTTAATGTTGAAAATCAGAAGCAATTCTTTCATCGAACCTTTGAAGCCTTTAAACAAACCTTTAAAATTCAGTTTTTTCCACAATACACCTCTAGACACATCCGGTTGCGGCTTCAATCCATCTATCTATTCATTAGCTTTACACCCCGGTTCCCAAAACCCCCTTCTTTCTTTCTTTCCTTTTCTCTTGTTGGGCTGAAGGTCGTTCGAGTTGTAAAAGATCGGGAGGGTCTCCTTGTAGACCCGCGAGTAGAGGGAAGCTGTAATAAATGTAGTCCCCCCGGCACTGCTTTAAAACTGGCTGGTGGGGGGATTTTTGGAAATGCCGAAAGTTCGGTTCCTTTCCGGTCACCCGCCACGGATAAAGCCACGGATAAAGCCACGGAAAAGCCGGGGGAACCGTGAAAATACCGACATGCAAAATCCCGAAAATCGAAAATCATGACGGCGATAATATCGATCGTAAAAATCTCGACATGTAAAAATTTTGGGAGCGATAATACCGACACAAAACCAAAATCCCGACAGGCAAAAATCCACTGATCAAAACCCCCCGACGCTAAAAAATACCGAACCCGAAAATCCCGACAGAATCCCGACATGCCAAACATCTGCATGCCAAAATATCGACAGCTATGATCCCGAAACCTCAACTCCTGAAAAGCCAGAATGCGAAATGTGAAAATACCGACATACAGAAAATCCTTATAATCAAGACGGAAACCCCGGTAGACCGACAGGAACTACCGACAGGCTAAAACTAAGAGCTTACACACGGGTTTCGGTCGTGTCGGGGTTTTTGCCGGGTTTGGTCGGAATCTGAAAAAGCGCTTTCGAACCGGAAATTATTCGCAAATTAGAATGCATAGAATAACTGCAAATAATTTGAATCACAGCGGTGAATAGTTTAGGAAAACTAAAAAATCCAAGTATTGCCCCCATTTTATACTTGTTCAATCTTTCCGACGAGCTTCCACATAGCATGACCGTGTTTATGATCATCCTCAATGGTAGGGAAAATTTTTGGAACCCCCCCCCCCCGTTAACAGCCCAGTACCGCTAACCCTTCAGTTCTCACCCCGTCGGTGGCCCTGATGCTCGCCATCGGCTGCAACAAGAAGGAGCGCATGCTGTATGAGCAGCAGAAGCAGAAGGAGTTTGCCGATGAGCAAGGTGGCGGATAGGCATGAGCTCTAAAATCAAAGTTTACTCGTTTAATTTGGTGCTTTCGCATTATCGGGGGGGGGGGGGCTAATTTATCGTAAAAGTAGCTAGATTTCAAGTGGAAAAACTATTTAAAAACCTATAAAAAATTTAAATCTCGAATTTCGGCCCAAATATCCATTGGTTTTAAAAATCTCTTTTTTAGTATTTTGTGACCCAAATTTGTAAATTTTTCGCGATTAACCATAGAAAAATCAGTGTAAAAACGCTTTCACTATTTATACTCAAAAATCTGTAGCCAAAGACCCTCTAATTTTACAAAAAAAAACCAAATTATCTAGAGCGCCGCAAAAAGGTGCCGCCCCCGCGTCCGCGCCCGCCAGCAGATCAAGGGCGAGCTGAGCAGCCCGCAGCAGAAGGCGAAGAAGAAGGGCGGCCAGTCCGACCGCAGCTCGAAGCGCAACGTGCTCGTCTCCCCGCTCACCAAGCCGCGTCTCGACGGCGCCTCGAGCGGGTCGCGCCGATCGCGGCTTCACGACTTGATGCGCGAGCACAAGATTTCGCCGTTGGTCATCTACCAAATACCGAAAATCCCGTTTAGCAACGCTCGCCCATCGGATGTGTCTTCGGAAAAGCTGGCGAAAGCTAGGTAAAGGCTGTGGTACTAGGCTGTTAGCGGGGGGGGGCTTGGTCTATCGCCCTGAGTTCCTAGTAATGAAATATACACGCAATTTATAGCTCTTTAAAGCATTTATAAGCAGAAAAGTTTAAAAATTCTTAACATTTGAAAAATTTGCGATTTATTGCCAAAATCTGTGAATTTTAGAATGTTTTCAAAGTGTTTTAGGGCTTTTTTAGTAACCAAAAAACACTATAAAAAAACTAAGGATAATAGCAGATCCCCTGCTTACCCCCGCTAACAGCACAGTACCAAAAATCACTTGAAAATTTGTTGCACTACGTTTTAGAGCCGAAAAGAAGGAGAAATCGGAGAGTGCCCGCCGGAAGAAGGAAGCCGCCGCTAAAAAGTGGGATTTACGAGCAATCCCAAAAAATTCTGCTTCTAAAACTTTCTAGAAAAATTTTCTTAAACTTCACACAATACAAACCCGAATTCTTCCATTTCCGGCCCGACGACGCCTCGGGCAGCGGCCGCGATTCGGAGCGCAAGAAGAAGGAGAAGCCGGAAGACAAGGACAACTCGAAGAAGGACAAGAGCGGCAGCTCCAAGAAGGTCACCACCGCCCGCGTACCTGCCGCAGATGTCGGATGCTAGAATAAAATTTAAAAAAATGGTTTTTAGACGTCGAATCGCAGCCAGAAGAAGAAGGCGGAGAACAAGTGAAACTTTCTGAAATTTCTAAAATTTTGAATCCTCTACAGAGCCGACAACAGCAACAAGTCGAGCTCCGGGCGCGGCGACAAGGGTTCTAGCAAGGATGGCGTCAGTTTTTGCGGTGCTTTTGCTTTATCGGGGGGGGGGGCTTTTCCGCACTCCAATTTCTAATAAAAGTGGAACTAAGCTATTTTTTACTATTCCAAAACGTAAAAACTATACAAATTTTCACTAATAAAAGCAAAAATAAGAAATTTTCGACTAAAAACGATCGATTTTCGATCAAAATTTTCACAAGAAAGTTTTCATAAGCCTTCTTTTTTGTCTAGTATCGCACTTGAAATCGTGTTAAATTTTGTTAAACACGCCATTTCAACAAACTTCGACGCAAAATTTCCGATTTTCGACCAAAACTGAGCTTTCTAGGGGGTTTTTTAGTTTTAGAGGCTGCTAGCAAATTTTGGCCTAAAAGACCCCCCTCGATAATGGAAGAGAACCGTTTTCCATGAAAAATGCTAAAATCACTTTCAGTCCTGCAAAACGGCGAGGACCGGAAGCCGGGATAAGGCGGTAGATGGTCCGGGCAGGGGTTCGAAGCGGGGCTCGCGCGCGCGAGCCGACGGATCAAACCGTGATCAAAACGCGGATCCCGTGAAAAAGGCCGATGGGTCCACGAAGACGCTAGGTGAAAACATCTACACTTAATAAAAACAATCCTAACAGGTCCCAGCCGGCTGCCGCAACGAAAGTCGGCTCGAAGGAAACGCAAGCCGAAGGGCCAAACCGATTCCTCGAATTCGTCAAAAAAAAAAAAAGAAATGTAAGGTCCGGCTGTTTTCCAAAAGCCAGCTCATGCTCGAAAATCGGATCCGGCCGCGACTCGTCCGAGAGCACCGCATTGGGCGCTGAACGCTGAACTTTTGCCTGAATAAATTTTGATGTTCCTTTATAAAACGCGGTCATTTCAAACATCGACGGCTTTCGATTTTCACCTGGAATTCAGCGAAAACGTACGACTGACCCCGGAAATCACTTGAGTTTCCAGCTGGGCAACGGCGAAACCGGGTGGCGGTTCTGGCAGGAAGAGCTCGAAGCGCGGCTCCAGCGAAACAGCGGCCGGAAATCTCTCGGCGGGATTCCCCCATCCAGCCCGAAAACTGCTGGCTCAAGAAGGTGGCGAAGCCGGGCTCAAGTGAAAAAGCCGGTGGCTCGTCGAAGAAAACAAAGTCGGGTTCGAGTGGGGGAAAAGTTGGTGGCTCGTCTAAGCAAGCAAAGCCCGGACCAAGCGAAGAGCTAGCGGATCCACGAACCCCCCCAAGCCGGGCTCAAGCGAAAAAAACTGCTGGTTCAGCGAAGAAACCAAGGTAAGAAATATACATCTGACTTCATATTAATACAAAAACTTCAAATAAATATTACCCACCTCAATTTTTTGGTCCCAAAGTCGTAAGCCCTAAGAAGTCGGGCTCGAAGGGAATCAATGCGGAGAACAAGCTCGCTGCTGCAGCCGACGCGCGGGATCCCCCGAGAAGAATGTGGGTTAACTGAGCCCCGAAACTAACGAAAACTTTTGTTACCAATTGTTACCCTAGCTATTTGAATAGTGGTTTAATTAAGATTTAGCTATATTTCAAGAGTGAAAAACCATTTGGAAAACTTCAAAAATGTTCCTATTTGAGGGGGAATAGTCGATATTTTGCTTTTTCATAGATTACGTTTCTGTTTGTAAAATCATACTTTTAAAACGATGAAAGACCAGAAAACTTTAGAAAATCGCATCCGGTCGCGACTCGTCGAGGCGCCGTATCGGTCGCTAACTTCGACTTATGAAATGCCTGCTAACCTCCTCCCTCCTTTCGAATAAATTGTTGCATCTCCGCTTGTTCTGCGGAAAAAACCCACACTCTTGCCTAGCTCCATCACAATTTGAATAAAGGAAGAAAATACCGGAGGGATTTGGATTTCACATGAATATCCACCCCAAAAGCCTCGAAAAAACCTAAAAAATATCACTCGACACTCGCCCGCGATGAGCCAGTCGGCGTTCAACGTGCATCTGCCCTCTCGGCACCCCGACGTCGACCAGTTCCTGCAGGATCCCGCCCCATCCGACCAAGTGCCAGGCGACGTACATCTGGATCGACGGCACCGGCGAGAATCTGCGCAACAAGACCCGCACGCTCAACACGAGGCCCGTCAAGGTGGAGGACTACCCGATCTGGAACTACGACGGCAGCTCGTGCGGCCAGGCCCAGGGCCGTGACTCCGGATCGCTACCTGAAGGTCGGGGTTTTCAACAAATAAATTCTTGCTGCCATGTATGTAACCTACCGAAACTTGCTACAAA